GAGCCGCCTTAGATGTTTGTTATGTACTTTTCGAATTTTCCATAATCACCTCTTTAGTTATCTCCATCTTTATTTTCAGTATTGTTTTTCGGATTTTCTTGTGGTATTTTTGATTCTGGTGTTAACTTTAATTTATACAACTCTAATCTCAGTCTATTGTCAAAATGGTTAAGTATTGTTCTGTGGCCATGTCATGCTTCTTCTATTGAAATTATGCAATGCCAAGAGCTAGGTTACATGCTTCTTTGAATTGTTCTTAAGCTGGGATTATCACTTAGTTAGAAATCATACAATGGGTTTAAGGAAAATGGTTAAGTGTTCTATGAAGTTTTACTTAAGTTTATGGTGAAGTAAAATGTATGTTCTGATCCTATTGTTATGAATGTGATTGTGTTAAACTGATTGGTTTAAATCATATACGAAAGTTTCCAAATTTTATTTGAATGTGAATGCCTTGATTTGTTATATATAGCTGTTTGATGAGTTTGGTAATTATTTGGATTTTTCGAATTGATGCGTTTACTCATCATTCATTGTGGTCGAACGTTATTGACACTAATATTATAGACTCAAATTCTGTTTTGAACGGTCGTAGGGTCTACTATGATATCTAGTAATTCATGTTAATGAATCCATGTTGGTTAGCTATTGAATCGAACCCTTTTGCATGATCAGATTGGGAAACAGGCTTGCGGTCTTGAAATGAGATCGCTAATAGGGATATTCGAGAACGATTGAACTAGGATTTACGGATATGTTCTGCTTCGGTTTGACTGTTAGTTAGGAGATATACCCAATATCATTCTGATTTCTCATCGATCAAAATTGTACTGAAAATTTTATTGATAAGGATTTTTTTTTTGCAATCTTATTTTTCAAATTTGTCTTCATATTGATTCTGTGAAATTCGAAATTTTAAACGGTCAAATTAGTGCCCAACTGCACTGTCCGTTTTGGACCAAAGAAAAGATTAGCAAGATAAATCAACAAATCATTCAAATGAACACGCATGTTTAGGACCTCGGTCCATAACTTCTTAGTTAAAAGCATAGAAAACAAAATATTTGCACACTCACAAATGATTAGTCTCGAGGTAAAGATCACTCACTAGTTAGTTCGTTATCAATACTCAACAGCAATATCAACCGCTTGAATCCGTAAACTATATATTCCATTCTCTTGTTATTGTTAGANTTGTTTGTTTGGTTTAGAAACTCAAACATTTATGTAATTAGGGTTTAGTTCTTATCTGTGAGACATATTACCACGTTCTGTTTTTCTTTAGCTGTTGTAAATTGTATTTTATAAGGTAGCTTGAAACATATATATACATTACTATCACAACTTGACATATGTTCATCGAATTGAAATGTTGCAATCAAAATTCACACAGACAAAAGATTCAAGACAACGAATAAATGGAATGGAAATAGATTTCGTTTCTCATAAGCTATAGATCGGTCTTGGTCCGGTCGATAATGGGGAGGGAATATCTTCCGGCGCACGAACCGGCTTAACCCACCGGCCGGTCTGTTTGTTGAGGATCAGTCCCTTATGTGCCACTTGGTACCAAAACTCCGGTATTCTTAGATGATCCAACAACATATCTGTGCTTTTGTTCACAGATGCAACGTCTCTCCTCGCGTTAACCCTAAACCCCGATTTCTTGCTGTGGAAGCCATCCAAAACATGAAGATACACCTCGAGATTATGCGACCTCCCTAAGTCTGAATCGCGTTTTACGTAAGGCGAACTGAATACATCGAGCTTGAGCTGCGTTCCGACATGCCTGTAGACCCAATTGAGCCTCGAGGTTATCGGGTTGAGTTTGTTTAGTACCTTGTTGAAGACGATACCCGGAAGCTTAGGTACAATATCTTGCTTGTTCACCACACGTAACACCTTAACACCTAACTGGTTTAGCCTTTCCTTGAATGCCAAGTTACCTACTCTCGGCGCACCAAAGGAGATCACAGAGACGTTTCCAGATAACGCTGGAACATCTCTCGCGGCCTCATAAGCGTTCATAAGCGCCAAAGCGCCGCCAAGGCTATGACCGGTCACTGTTAGGCTCACCTCTTCGCCTCTATCTTTAAAAAAATTCACTAACCTCCTCACTTCCTCCATTGTTTGCTCAGATGCACTTTCTTTATTGTACCTTGTGTGCTCACTTTTCGAGTTGTAGATACTGAAAAACCCGCTTTGGACTTTGACAACGTTCTTGCCATGTTCTCCTTCACAATCAAACGGCTCTTTACTCGTTCTAAGATCCATGAACCATTCGGTAGGAGTCACGGTTCCACGCCACGCCACAACAATGTCTCTCCGACCAATCCTTAGCGACTCACTGTCTCCACTCACCGCAACAAACCCCATCCAGTTCGAGTCTTTGCTCCATGTCTCTCCCAAAGCTGAGGTCAAGAACCACTGAGGAACATCAACATGAGACATCGCGTAGATGTATTTGGTGACCTTGTAACCATGTCTTGTTAAACCAAGCTCTTCAAAGAGTTTGTTCCTGTTGTATCTACAACTTCCGCAGAATTCGGACAAAGGATCGAAATCGAGTGAATCATAGACCGATTCAACGAATTCTCCGTATTTGGTTACTTCTCTCCTTAACCATGGATGCAAAGGATCAAGAAGATTCTCCCAATTGTTGCTACCGTGAAGCTCACGCCACATTTTCGATATGTTTTCCCTTGGAGACGCAGCTGGAGTCATCAGATCGCCGCGGTCTAGGAAATCCGCGGCTGAGTACTTCGGAAGCTGAAGTAGAAACGCAAGCGATTTGGTTGAGTCGTTGGTGATTTTGCAGATCCTCCGAGCTACTTGAGCTAATTCTTGTTCTTGGTTTCGAGATTTCGTAAACGTGAGACGTTTCTTGGTCGCCAAGAAACCCGGAAGATGTGACCTGACCCGGATCTTGATGGACTTCCATGTCAGCTTCAGCTTCTGCTTCAATCTCCAAACCCTTTTTGTTCCTCTTCTTCTTAGCTTTCTCATCGGAGTTTTGATCGGAGACTTCTCCATTTCCAAGGATTATTGATCGGAAAATTATAAAAGTTGTGCTGTGTTGAATTAAGAAGAAGATTGATGTGGTTTGGATACGATCTCTCTGTGTTATATATGGTTACACACACGCATATGTAACTTCTGGGAAGATTCTCAAATGTTTGACCCGGTCTACTTTCTTATATTGTCCGGTACGGAAGATGATTGCTGGTATAATATTCGGTTTAGGTTTAAATGTAAGTAAAAAAAGTGGTCAGAATCCCGGTTTAGGATCCAACAACTTGGTGTATATCAATTTAATGTTCTAAAAATCTTCTCTTGGAATCGTTTGGTTTAAGTCAAAACACATCTAGTTTTCTTGTATTATTAGTTGGTCAAAGTAATTAATAGTAGCCCATGTTGACAGTTTCTTACATTTTATTGTTTGGCTGCATTAAGGTTTTAATAATTACGGCTGCTTATATTAATACTCTCTTTGTTCC